ATTTATTTACATCTGCAGGAGAACACTGCCGCTAGCTACTGCTCAGCGCGGCAACAGCACAGCAACAACAACACACAGGGCGCCCTCTGACCCCGGAAGGACACACCGTCGCAGCGAGAGGGCGTCACCCGTCACTATGGAACATAAACAAAACATAACTGTACAAACAGAACCCCGAACAGCCCTGACCCGCTACATAGCCCCCACCTAAGGGGTCAGTCGTCCCCGACGACCCCATTACCCCACACAAAGTCCTGCAAATGTCCAGGTGCCTTCTTTTGGCGCACCGGCCGGTCACGACCGGCGGGGGAAAAGTCACTCGGGTCAGAACATGGGGTGCCACCATCATCCCCTGCCCCGGCGTCTGCCGGAGCGAGCGGTCGGTACGGTGAGAGCCTGTCCCGGTGCAACACCACCATGCACCCCAGGCCCGGCATGCGGATGCGGTAGACCACTTCTGTTAGCCGCTCCACGACCTCCGCCGGCCCTTGCCAGTGACTGCACAGTTTGGGGGACACTCCTCTCTTGCGGACCGGGCAGTACACCCAAACCTTGTCGCCTGGCATGAAAACCCCCCTCGGCACTTGGTGTCGTAGAGCTCTTTTCTGTCGTACTCCGGCGCTGGCCTGGGCCTGGCGGTGTAGTCATGAACCACCTGCAGCCGCCCCCAGCCGTCCGGTAGTAGGCCAGCGTCTGGCCCACCAGTCAACCCCCGGGGGGGACCCGAACACCAGAGTCCACAGGCAGCGGGCTGCCCGGTCCAAACATCAGAGCGGCATGGTGTGCACCCTTGGCTGAGACTCCTGAACCTGCAGTCCGAGTACGACCAAAGGACCAGGGGCAGAGTGCGGGGCGCCACACTCCCGCTGGTGGCGGCTGGTGAGAATGGCCGAGCGTGGGTGGCCAGCGGCGGGGGGGAACGCCGCTCAACGCAAGCCGATCGCTGGGGTGGAGCAGGGGTGTGCGTTCGCGGCGGTCGTCCACCCCCAAGCTGCCGCACAGGACAGATCGCCCCGAAGCACCTCAGATCGAAGGGTACGCCCCGTGGCCACGGTGTGGTAACAGCGGTCGCAGCCGGACCCCAAAACGGGTGAACATCTCCTCCACCAGCTTCTCGGCCGTCGTCGTTGCGCTCTGGTCCGGCACCGCGTAGGCCTCTGGCCACTTCGTGAAATAGTCCATAGCCACCAACACATACCGGTTCCCTGACTCTGTGACGGGGAAAGGCCCTAGGACGTCCACTCCCACTCTTTCCATTGGGGCCCCCACCAGGTACTGCTGAAGGGGGGCAGTGGAGCGTTGAGTTGGGCCCTTCTGTGCCGTGCAGGTGTCACAGCAGTGCACATGAAGTTCCACATCCCGTCGACAGCCAGGCCAGTAGAACCGTCCCCTGAGGCGGCGGAGAGTTTTGGCGTTCCCATAGTGTCCTGCCCCCACCGAGCCGTGGACCAGCTCAAGCACCTGCGACCGCAGCGACCGAGGCACCAACAGCTGCAGGAGATCTCTGCCCTGACCGGGGGCCCGCCATCTCCGGTACAGGAGGCCGTCGTGGGTCTCCAGATTGTTGTGCTGGGAGTAGTAGGCCTTCACCTCGGGCTCCTGTCCCGACACCCCCGTCCAGGCGGGGCGTTGCGCCGCCTCCAGCCAGGCCCCCACCTGAACCAACGTCGCGTCGGCCTCCTGCTCCCGCTTCAGTTGCTGCGTTGTCAATGGGAGCCACCCCCCTCCGCTGGCTGTGGCTGAGCAGTAGCCACCCGAAGTCGTAGCCCTGAAGGACCTCCAGCCAGCGGGCCACCTGCCCTTCTGGGTGTTTGAAGTTCAGGAGCCAAGTCAGAGACACATGGTCAGTGCGCAGGAGGAACCGGCAGCCGTGCAGATATGGCTGGAAGTGCCGCACCGCTAGCACTACGGCCAGCAGCTCCCGCCGGGTCACGCAGTAGTTCCTCTCGGCTCGCCCCAAGGCACGACTGAAGTACGCCACCACCCGTTCTCCAGCCTCGTCCTGCTGGGAAAGGACCGCCCCGACTCCTACATTGCTAGCATCAGTGTCCACAATGAAAGGTTGCCGGGCGTCGGGGTAGGCCAGGACTGGGGCTCTGGTGAGGGCCTCCTTCAGCTGTGCAAAAGCCGCAGCACAGGCATCCCCCCAGCCAAACAGCTGTCCCTTGTCAGTCAGGCGGTGGAGGGGGCTGGCCATCGTCGCGAACCCTTTGATGAACCAACGGTAGTAGGAGGCTAGGCCCAGGAAGCTCCGCAGTTCTTGGACGTTCGAGGGAGTCGGCCAGTCCCGGACCGCAGCCACTTTTGCGGGGTCAGTGGCGACACCTCGAGCGCTGATCACATGGCCCAAGAACGTGGTCTCTCTCGCCAACAGCCGGCATTTTGCGGGGTTGAGCCGCAGCCCAGCTCGTCGGATGGCACTCAAGACCTCGCTCAGGTGAGACAGTGCACTGTCGAAGTCGCCACCGTGCACCAACAGGTCATCCAGGTACACAACGCAGCGGCTACAAGGGATATCCACGAGCACCCTCTCCATCAGCCTCTCAAACGTCGCTGGCGCATTGCAGAGCCCAAATGGCATGACCCTGAACTGCCACAGCCCCTGTCCAATGGTGAATGCAGTCTTAGGCCTTGCTTCGGGGGCTAGCTCCACCTGCCAGTAACCGCTGCGTAGGTCGAGGGAGCTGAACCAACTGGAGCCGGTAACGTAATCTAGGGCCTCGTCGATCCGCGGCAGCGGGTACGAGTCCTTCTTGGTGACTGCATTGAGACGGCGAAAGTCCACGCAGAACCTCGGGCTGCCATCCTTCTTCCCCACCAGAACCACGGGTGCCGCCCATGGGCTATTGGACGGCTCGATCACCCCAGCCGCAGCCATCTCACGGATCTTCTCTTCCGCTACCTGCCGTTTTGAGAGGGGCAGCCGGTGTGGGCGCAGACGGATGGGCTGAGCAGAGCTGGTGTCGATGGTGTGCTGGACCAGACTCGTCTGCCTACAGTCTTTGTCACTGGCGGCAAAGATGTCCACATTCTCGTCCAGGAGGCACCTCAACCGCTGGCGCTGGTCGACGTTGAGGCCTACGCTGCTGCGCTGCCAAAGGTCATCAACAGCCTCGATGGTCTCGGTCGAGGGAGGTTTGTCGGGCTGAGAGGCTGAGGCTGAGGCGAGTGGAGATGACCCGGAGCCACCGGCATCCGAAATCTGCTGAGCGGCAGCTGCCCGACGCCTGTCTCGTCTGGTCCCCGCTCCCTGCTTTTGGCCGCGCTGGAGGGCAAAAGTCTCTGCGCCAAGAGTGATAGCCAGCTTCGCGGTGTCGACGCAGGCCCCCCAGCGGCTCAGCAGATCCAGGCCAATGATGCACTGGTCTTGAATGTCGGCGAGCCAGAAGTCGTGCACCAGCTCCAGATCCTTCACTCGGATCCGCAACGGTTTCTTCCCCCGCATAACAGTTTTCTCCCCCGTCACTGTCATCAGCTGGGTGTCTGTGGGCAACCAACCCTTCACCAGTGGCCCGGATGTTTCAGGGAGCACGCCAGGTCGTATCAGGGAAATGGTAGACCCCGTGTCCACCAGGGCCTGGCATGGCTGGTCCTCAACACAGCAGCTCAGGTAGAGTCCCTTGAGGTGCCCAACTCGGCCCACCACTGTGCATCGTCCTTGGAGGGGGGCAGGAAGCTGGAGCGTGGTCCCCTCGCTACACCGCTCCCTCCTCGTTTCCCTGAGGCTGCGTAGTTCTGGTCTTCGGGGCTGGTGCTGGGCAGTCACGCGCCACGTGGCCAGGCTCATCGCACCGGTAGCAGCGGTCGGTCGGTCGACGAGGACGCCTCCGGGGCACCGAGGGTTGCAGCTGGGACATCTCGGCGACCTCCCCCTCCCCGTCTGCGGCTCTGATTTGGGGGTAGTTTGGGGGGGCACCTGCTGGTTAGGTCGCGAGGTGAGCACCGGCTTGGCCCTTTCAGCCTCAAGGAGCGCCTCACGGAGGGTCTGAGGCATGGCCAGGCGGACGTGTTGGCGTAGTCGCTCTGGGAAAAGTCCTCGCAGAAAAGCATGCAGGCTAAGCTCCTCACGGGCTGCTGCTGGAAACTCCGGGTAGCCACGACGAGCATACAGCAACACGTCTGCTGCAAAGGTGCCCAGGCTCTCCCCCGGTCGACGGCTCCGGTTGGTCAGCTGCTCTCTGCTCTGATCAGTGGAGTGCCGCTGCCCGAATCGCCTCTCGAGTGCCGCGGTGAGGGCCTGGAGCTCATGCTGCTCTGCCGGGGCTAGGTCAAGGAGTATCTGCAGTGCATCTCCCTCTAATGCTAGCGCTAGGTGTGTAGCAGTCTCCTCTTCGCTCCAGCCACTATGTCTGGCGGCAAGCCGCACTTGTGAGAGGTAGGGCTCTAGCAGGGTTAGCCCGTTGTATTTCGGTACCTTAACTGGCATGGTAGGCATAACTGCTCGCGGTTGGGGGCTCGGCGTGTGGGTCGACAGAGGTAGCCCATGAAGCATTGCCCTAGCATCTGTCGCGACGGGCCGCCGCTGCGTGCGCTCGCGCCATCGGGACCCGTCGGGGGACTTACATGGCCGCTCACATCCTCTCTCTTCAATCGCCAGTTTCCCAAGCGGGGAATGTTCTCCTCGACAGCTTGCTCCAGCCTCTGAATGTCTCTCTCCATTACGGCGAGGGTGAGCTATCCCACTTCTGACACCAATGTGGCGAGCTCAGACAAGGAGGAGACGGAGGTATCGTTTGGTCTTGCTTCCCGTGAGCTAGCCAGGGAGCACAGCCGTTTATTGACATCTGCAGAAGAACACTGCCGCTAGCTAACTGCTCAGCGCGGCAACAGCACAGCAACAACAACACACAGGGCGCCCTCTGACCCCGGAAGGACACACCGTCGCAGCGAGAGGGCGTCACCCGTCACTATGGCAACATAAACAAAACATAACTGTACAAACAGAACCCCGAACAGCCCTGACCCGCTACAATATATATCGCATGACGATATAAAAACATCTATCGTTTCATTTTACGCTATCGTTTGTTTCGTGGTGTCGCAAAATAAACTGTTTACCATATTTTTTCATCGTTTTGATGGTCACTGTAGTGGCTATATTAATTTCTTAAAGTTCTCTCTTTCTCTTATATTTAATATAACCACACTACAGACGGACAAGCGCCTGTTTTTATGCGTTGTGGTTAGCAACAACGATGGTAACACCATCGCGTGTCCGCTTGTTTATGTTCCACATAAACCTTTCACAATAAAGCTCAAGATCCTGTTGAGACTTTTCAAAATAAACTGAATCACGTGAAAGAGCAGATTATTTACGGATGAGAAGTAAAAAAGAGCCGCCAGGTGCTAAAAAATAAACCTTGGCTGTGTTCCCTGGCTAGCTCACGGGAAGCAAGACCAAACGATACCTCCGTCTCCTCCTTGTCTGAGCTCGCCACAATATGTTATATCGAACAGCCCTAACTGTCAGAAATAATACAAAAAAGGCTTGGAATATTTCACATTACATTTAACGAATGTCTCTTTGAGTGTATGTCTAGTATATGACTAACAAATGCTGGGTTTTTTCATGATATTCTAATGTTTTGAGATGCATTAGCAGAAGTAAAGTGACAATCTAAACAGGTAAACAGAAAATGACCTTGAGTGTCAGTGGTATTAAATCGTACCTGCAAATAAAAGAAACATTGCTAACCTGAACAGCATTTGGTTGCTTGTTCACGGCTTCTCAAGCTTTAAAACTATCATATTAGCATTTTTGTAAGCTTTACATATTCTGTAGGACTCTACATGAGGGTACATCATTAAGTTAATACATCTTACCGCATACTGGTGAATGTTTTAAAGGCACTCTTAGATAAAAGAGTGTGGATTCAACGAAAAGGGGAGAGACACAAGCCGGCACCTATGGAAAACTCCTGAAGTGAAAGCTGAAAAGTAAATCAAAACACAAAATCCCCTCCAACTCTTCTGGGATATGGCACTCGCACTAAATCTGGCAAACAGGGAGTACTGATGAAAGCAGGAACTGTTCCCACAGGGATGCAAATGAATCTTCTCCACCTCTTCCTTAGACCCATAGCAACACAACATGCCCACACCAACAATTTTATTTCAATTACTCACATCGCTCTCTCCCTCCATCCATCCATTCAGCCATCCACCCATCCATGCTACTCTGCTAAGTCTTCTTATCTGCCTCTTGTCAAATAAATTCATGAGCAGTAGGGGATTTGTCAAGAAAGATGAAGAGACGGGTGAATGCTTTGCTTCTGTTGTTTAGCGTTTTTCAGTGCGGCTCTTATCCCGGCCTTGTTTCTATTGTTAACAGATTCCTTGAGTCTTTATGGGACAGAAAATGGAGGTGTGTGCAGTTTTTGTTTCCCTTTATCAAGTGGCAACAGGAGCAGCACCTGCCTGTTTAATCTAGCAGACACAAACACTGAGTATAAACCACTATACTGATGACTTCCACTGCAAAGCCATTTACTGTCATCCAGTCATCTAAAAGCACTTAAAACATTAAGCACTTAAACACATTTGTCTTGATGCATTTCCCATTGAAGGCCTTTGACCAGCAGATCGTTCTCTTCTCATACAGCATTATTTGCTAATGGTGGTGCATGATTAGTTCTGCATCTTATAATACATCACGTTTTTATCTATTGATGGTCATGGCAGCAGCAGTGTAAACCGAGATACCCAAGCTTGTATCTCCATGGCCTCATCCTCCAACTCTTGTGGGACGACACAGAGGCTCGCCAAAGCTCACCAAGAGAAATAATCTCTCCACCGGCTCCTGGATCTACCTGAAGGTCTCCTCCCAGTAGGACATACCCAAGACGCCTGACCTCTCTTTATTCAGAAGGAATTGTAGCTAAATGCCCAAATCACCCCAAGTGGCTCCTCCTGAGAGGAGTAAAAACTTGACTCTTCTAAAATGACCTGTAAGCTGAGCCCATGCAACCATCGGAGAAAACTCACTTCTGCTGCTTGTTTTGTTTTTTTTTTACGTGTTTAATAAATATTTTTAAATTGGTTATTTAACACCAACATATACTATGAAAATTCCATTCAAATCACAATTTACAGGACTGCTGAAACTATGCCAATTTATGCCTCCTAACTAAAAACTATGCTTTTATACATGGGGATAACCCATGGATAACTATCTTGTGATGTAGATATTTTATAGAGTGCAAAAAACATAAAATAAACAAAGGTTTGCCTGATTGTCAAGCTTGACCAGACTTTTATTGCTGTTGCTTTTTACCTTAATGCTCTTTATATTATATGCAAAGCACTTTGAATTGCCTTGTTTTACTTTATTTGTCTTTAACAGACACTTAACTTCACCTACCTTTAATATAACCTACCCCACTGAGGAAGACAGGTGGGGATTAGAAGCAGAAACAGAGATAAAGACCAGTGTTACGTCTTATGATCTAATGACCTTCACCCAGCATGGCCCCAGCGTGAAACTGAGCTGTAACAGCAAACAGACAGCCCGAAACAGATTAACACTGACCACTGGTGAAACAAAGCAAGCTGGTGGGAAGTGGAGCGAGTGCAGGAAGAGCGGGAACCTTCTAAAAGGATTGTAGCCGATTCCACAGAGTAATTCTTCTCCTCCTCTCTAACTGGGATACAGCAAATGGCAATAAAGCTAAATGCTTTCAAAGCCTAAAAAGGAAGGGAAAAAACCCCAAAAAACAAAAACAAGGAAAAGTGATAAATTATTTACATCAGTCTGGGAATGTGGGTATCATACTGAGCTGTCCATTTTGAGATTTTTCCTAAAGCATGAATGCATGTTTGCATGTATATTTCAGTGCATGTGTCCACTCACACAGCTGTTGATCTTGACAAACAGGCTTCTACTTTGCTGGCATCTGGTTGTGACAGTGCAGACCTCGCTGCTGGAGTCCTGCCTTGGAGTTTACTGCAGGCCCACAGCTTGGATTTCAAGCTTCTGTGAACTAACACCAGGCTGACAAATGCCTCAGTCGTAATAGTAAGAATGAGTGAAGGCACTGAAACACCCGCAGGAAAAACAATTCTGGACTGAATCTTTAAATAGCCTCCTATAACGGAGCTGTCAACACTCAGAAATGTGAAAAATGACAGAGAAGAATTCATTGTCTGTAGGGTTGCAATCAGTTATGAGAGGCATTATCAGAGGCTTATGGCTACATAAGGGATATGCACTGCTGCATACGGATCACAACTTTAAAGAGCATCAAATGAAACATCAGTAGAACTATGCTCAGATTTTTTCTGGAATACATATGTTTTTGTCCTTTAATTGGGATCGATCAAAGAATATACTGAAGGAACAACGTAGTAACCTTAATCACACATGTTACCATTACATTACATGCAAGCCATGAAATCAGGAATCCAACATCCTCATACAATTTCAGGAAACCATTTTTGTTTTGTTCTCCTCTCTGATTTGTTCCACATTCGATCCGTTGTGTAAGATTGTTGCAGTTATTGTGTTTTGTGACTCACTGTTTGTGTCATTCTTATAGAGTTATGATTTAAAAAAAAAAAACACCCTGTCTTAAGCAAGTTTATTTACCTAATTTTAAGAGGTATTAAGGACCTGATTATTTTATTATTATGTCCTGATATTTAAAACCTCACGACTGACAGAGGGTGTACTTTTCTTTTACCATGACCGTATAGAAATCCTCTCCATCTTAGTTTGTTTCTCTTAACCTTCTGCTGCTCGGGCTATCAAGTTGTCCCATTTGTCTTAAGTGCCTTATGAAGTTGCGGGTTCAATAAAAGTTTATACTTTACAGTTTGCTTCATAGCTCATGTAGTGATAGAAAGGATTTTGCTTGTAATAATTCTTTTATCTCTCTGTCTCCCATTTGTCCCATTTAGACTGGCAACCTGTAGCTTAACCCCAGAGACTCTGAGTCCTTGATTAAAAAACAAAAATGTAATTAAAGTATTTTGGCGACCGGAGTGACAGCACACTGGAAAATTGGACAGAAAACAAAGTATGTCAATGTGAGGTCAGGCATCCTTGAGAAGGGTGCTCAAGCTGATGCACCAAATGTCTCATGGGAGATCCATTTCCACTTGGCTAGCTGCAGATTCAATCAGTTGGCAGGAGAGAACTCTTTCAACCAAATGTCAGCGATGATGTCACTGAGTTGCTGTGAATTCATCATTCTGAATCACTGAATCACATCAACTATCCTTTTTAGCATGTGACAACATTTGAAATGCTAAATGTAATGGGTACTTGGAAAAAAAAAAAAGGTCATGTGTCACTTTTCAAATGTAAATGTAAAACTGAGCAGTTATGACGCTAATCTCAACGGGTCCATTTACAGATTAAGTGATTAAGTCTAATACCCAACCAGCACACACAGCCTTGCTTCATCAACGACAAGTTTGTGTCGTGCAGCTGAGTGTGCTGAGTGTCACTGATGATCGAATATGTTTATTTACTAGTCAGTCTATGCTCTCTGCTCCTCATTATTCTCCGGGAAGTCTCCTACTGCCATCACCACCTCCATCCCATCTCCCATAAACCATCGGCAAGGCCAGAGCAATGTAAGGCAGCCGTATTTACAGCCCTGAAAGCAATTGGAGGTTAACAATGAGGCCTGGCTGCTGCAGTTTATGGGCCGCTGTAA